ATGCCAAAAACTAATGAAATAACCGAATTTGGGACATTGTTAAATTGGAGTTTCGAAAAGTATATGCGGAAATTTTAATATACGAATAAAGATTTATTTACAAATGATAAAAATTTTATTTTTAATTCGTTACAATGGTATATAATAGGCAAGCCACTACTCTAAATTTCATTTTAATCCGATTTCATTATGACCTGCGACAATAATTATTAATTATAAATGATAATAACAATTTTATTATATTCAATTTTCCCAAACATAATTTAAATGCTCGCATGTCATTAGAAATTTATGACTTTTGCTCGATTATTTTCTATATATAAGAGGAATGTCATTCATAACGTAACGTAATTTAAGAGGGCACTGTACATTTTATCACCTTAATTTCAATAAAAACTCCGGTAGACCGAATAATTTCCGTCATTTGAAGGTATAAATTCAATAAATTCAAAAATATGTAACATTTATGGATAAAGCTTGGAATATAAAACACAGTTAACTTTTAATAGGGGGTTAGCAGTCATATCACGTCTATATTATATAAAAAAAATTATGATTGGCGCTAACTCAATCACCTAGAGGGAAGGCGACCAAACCTAGTACTCCGCAAAATCAATTCAAAATTTGAATTTGAACCAAATATTTGAAAATATTTAATCAAATTTTTTAAGAATTTGATCAAATATTTTCAAATATTTGATTCAAATTCAAACTTTGACTTGATTTTGCGGAATACTAACCAAACCTTCTAATTAAAAGAAATTACGTAATTAACGATACTCCCTAAGTATGCAACGTTATAGTAATAACTGGATAGTATAAGAATTTCTACGTTTATAGATTAGATAACGCTTCTTTTTCATACAAAACGTTAATCTATGACTAAATTTCCGAAAAAAATTTTTACCAATATTTTTATTAATATATATTAGATGGTTCTACCACAAAATCGCGACATCCAAAATCTCGACAGGCCATAATACAAGTTATACAGAACACCCAACAGGAGGAACCGTCGATGTTACACGACTGATACTTCAACATATAAAAAACTATTTTACAATACCAGATCATTCCGCTAGTACATGTTATGATTATAATCCCACACCATTTTTATTATAATAAAAATGGTGTGGGATTATAATCATTATATGTTGAAGCATCAGTGTGTAACATCGACGGTTCCTCACCCCAAAAAATTCCCACACGTGATGGTGACCAATCAAATCACAAAATCAGGTTCACAAAAAATCGTCGATAAATAAATTTTCATATATGAAACCGTCTTCGATGCTCTAATAAAAAAAATTCCTTGCGAAATTTTAGTACATATTAGGTTCTTCCCTAACCCAAATCTAATCCTAACAACAAGGTTTTAATGCTTTAAATCTTGCACTTTATTCGATAGTTTTAATGAAATCTGATCACGTACTGGTAAATTTTTTGGGGGTGAGCTGTGTAAATTCCATAATACTAACATCACGCGACGTGACAGTTAAAAATTTAAGTTTGACAATGGTTGTTAATGTGATTACTAATCTTTAAATATTAATTTTCACGTCGGGATTATGGTTTCGAGATTTTGGATATCGAAATTTTGTGGTTAAACCGTAATAGATAATCTAGTTGACTATATATACGATCTCTAGCTCATTCATAAATTTACGTTCCTGGTTTTATGTGGCAGCGTCGAGCAGCTACCTTATTATAATATTTATTTGATTGTTTATATGAAAAAAATTAACATTTAGTAAAAAAAAGAAAAATATGAATAACCAAGATTATCTAGATTAAATTATAACCAAGAATATTTGAATATCTATATCAAATTACAACCAAGAATATCTATATCAAATTACATGCAGTAAATAATTCAGCTTGCATAGTTGATATATTGTAAGCTTATTTAAGATTTTCTAACGAAAGCAAAATTGGATCATTAGATAATTTGCCTTCGAAGTCGCGCAATCCACCAAGGGTTAGTCGTTCACGATCCAATTTTACTCCCTTAAAAGTTGCTTTTCCCTCACCAAATTTTAATGTCTATTTTTTAATAAGTAAAGAACAAAAAAAAAATATTATATGTCATGACATTAAACGATCTAAAAAAAAGAAATAAAGAACTTAAAAGCTTACAGTTTTTGCGACAGCAGGAATGTTGAGTTCATCAAACCTTTGTCTGAT